CATGCCATTTTTGGAATTATTTTGAATTTTTTTAAAAATAAATTGGCAAGCATTAAATGTAGCCTAAAATTATGGATTTGGAAAACAAAAAAACGTAATTATGGCTTCACAAATTTCACACATGTTTCCAAATTATAGCATTGTGTTATTTGTCTTTTTCATTTTTTTACATGAGTAATTGAGAGAAATTAGGATGCATCTATTATTAATGTATAATCGAGTATACCGCGCATAGTTTCAATAGATAAAAATGCATAAAACTTACAAGTATAATTTTATAATTTTTTTTTAATATAATACATAATTTACAAATTTTCAAATTTCTATCACTATGTTTAATAACTAAGAATTACAAATATAATCATATTTATGGCGTACTAATTTATAATATTTACTTCATAATTTAAATTTAATATAATTTGTAATCAAAATAAAATAAAATAAGGACACAATACTAAATATTTGATTTTTTTTTATTCTTTTTTTTTTCATCAACACACTACCTCTAATAATTTAAAAATCAAGTCCTATAAACTAACGGGGTACACGCAATAAAATGAACTTGCATTTGAATAAGATTCCAGTATTTTTTTTATTCTTACAGTCCAACATTTCCGAATATACACAACTTCAATTAACATAGCATTCTTTAGATGAACAATCAAATCGTACAATTAACCCCAAAAAAAAAACCCCGATAAACTTTACTCCCAAGTTTGTTTAACACACACGTATATTAAGAGATATTTAAAGTATTGAAATTTGAAATAATTGTAACAAATGCAGAACTAAATAATCAACAAATAAATTATTTATTTTAATTCCTATATATCATGATAATGTGATAAGCATTACCTTTTTTTTTTAGTCAAATCAAACGTTTTTAAATTGAAGTATGTCATACACATTTTAAAATGAATTGGGTTTAGATTAGATACCAAGTTTTCTGTTATTCTAGAATCAGAATCCACAATATTTAAATAATGTCGTACACATTCAAACGAATTTAAATTGAGTTAGATTGGAAGATTCTTGTGATATATATATATATATATATATATATATATATATATATGTATATATATATATAAAATAAGAATTAACATTACTAAAAATAGTAGCAAAAAATTTAGGAAGCATTTAATGCATACCATTTTTTTGATTTTTTTTTAAATATATGCATTAATTGCTTCAATATACACGTTTTCAAACTAAATCAAATAAGATATGATCAAAAATTACTTAAATAAATTTATTAATATCTGCAATATTTTCAATGATATTTATTATAATAAATTACAAGATTGATTTTTGTGATTCATGTTGATAATATTTTGGTCAAGATAAATATTAATTGATTAATATTTGTAATACTTTCATTGATATTCATTATAATAAATTACAACTGATTTCCATGATCCATGTTGATAATAGTTTTAAGACTGATTTCCAAGATCCATGTTGATAATAATTTGGTCAAGATAAATATTACACCATATTTTAAGTTATAAAAATTAAATTAATTTTTTTCACAAATATTCACATTTTATCCAAAAATATTTATGGAAAATCGTAGCATGTTAGGTAGAATTTGTTTTTTCAAGTAATCAAATAAAATCAAGTTGGTGAATTAATCTTTGCCAATATTTTTCTTTTCTTAAGCTTTATTTTGTTAAAATATTTTTTTTTAAAATTAATATAATTTATCATTAATAGATAATGACCAGATACATTAAATATTTTTACTATTGGTAAAAACTTAAAATTAAAATATAACTATATTTTAAAATTTATTTGTATATTATGGCACTCATGATTATTTTTTTATTTTTTCCGTTTTGATTTATTTCTATAATTAAATTCTTGTAAAATATATTTTCATTGCAGAGTATGCTAAATAAACTATTAATCCTTATAATGCAAATTAGAAAAATCTTGATCATAGAAGGGATTGGTCTTTTGGCATTTTCCAAATCAAATTTTAATTAGTATACAACATTAAATTTTCAAAAAACATGTGTATATTATGTAAAATATTTATACATTGTTTAAGTTTAAATTTATTTACGTATTTTAAAGTGATTACATAAATAAATAATACCAATGTGCATTAAATATTTTTCATTACATAAAATAAAAAGAAGACGTAACTTCTATAACTTTATAAATAATAATGACATTAAATGACAGCAAAGTTTATAATAAAATAATAATTAAGTATCATATGGTGAACAAGAATAAGTAAAATTGTTATTCTCTCTTATATCAAGGAATATATATATTAAAATCAAATCTATATTTGTATAAATGTGTTGGTGAGATATTATATTAATTATTTTACAAGCTAGCCCTAACAGATTCATGTAACTAAAAAAAACAACGTTGATTAAAAGAGGTGCAAAATAGATTATAACCTTATTGTTTATTACACTTAACTCTGATTAAAATAGATAAAAAATAGGTGATATTGCTTTATATACTTAAACGGACAACTCATTTAATATTTTTGTCCCGTGCATCGCACGGGGATACGGACTAGTACATACTTAAACAAAATTTTATGTTAAATAAACTCAATTTCTCCTCCTCCCAAATTTAAAATTAATTTATCATTCAATATAAATTTGAGATGTTATTTTAAACGTTGCATTTAAAAATTATAGAAGAAGTAAAACAGGTAACAAATTACAAATCAATTTTTCTTATACAATCAAACATCTCAAAAATATATTATTATTATTTATTAGAATAATAAAAAAAGCAGAGGGAAAATATTTTATTTGGTAAAAAACCAGAGGATTGTCAAAAAGGACAAGCTATTATTTCAGCCGGCGCCAGATGTTCTTTGTTCTCTATCCCATTCGGCCATTTTTATCACACACACACACACACACACACACACACACACACACACCAGTTTTATACAGTCCCCACACACACACTCTCTCAGCACGTACTACAGTAATCAACTTTAGCTCGGTGTATAATATATTATTATATATATCTTTGTGTGGCTTCACTTCTGATCACTCTTTTTTGCCCCTTTTTCCTCTGCTCTCAACCAAAAAAGGAAAAAAAAGTAAGAAAAATTTGATCTTTTTTTATGGAGTCAAGTGGGTTTTCTTCGCCGAGGAGGGAGTTTCTTCCGGCGGGTCTCCGAGTTCTTGTGGTGGACGATGATCCCACGTGGCTGAAGATTCTGGAGAAGATGCTCAAGAAGTGCAATTACGAAGGTTGTCATTTTCTGGGTTAAAAATGCAATTTCCCCGTTTGCCCCTTCTTTCTTGTTTGTTTGTATTGTTGGTTGTTTCTTGTTTGTTGTTTCATGTTTGTTTGGTGGGCTTTCTTTTTTCTGTGATTATGTTTTATTTTCTTGCTAAAGACTGCTCTTTTATGTTGTCTAACATGTCGATTCCCTGTTTGGGGCTGTCTATGTTGTCAAAAATTGCACACGTTGCTACTAATGGAGTTGTTTACAGCAGGCTCAAAAATTGGTTGATGATTCTGGAAAGAACATGTGTGAACAACCATTATAACACGTTTTACTTGTTATATTTATGAACTGTTACACCCATTAGATTCCCCTCAAAGGGTTATCCCAGTTTTGCTATGGAGCTATCGGATGGCTCGGCTTATGGAGTCATTCATAGTTGTTCACAAATAGTGTATTGACACGTGTCCTACAATAAATACACTTTGGACATGTGTCAATACATTAACTGATCGATGGCTCCATAAGAAAACCATCCGATGGCTCCATACAATTTTTTAGGGTAATCCTTTCTTGTCCATCTTTGTGCATAGTGTTTCTTTTTTAGGAATAGACTCAACTGTTGATGAATATTTACTGCAAATTTTGGCTTTAGTCCCACTTATTTTTAGATGAAGCTTTTATCAGATCAATTTGAGAAGAGACGAGTAAATAAATATATTGAATATTAGTGCTTATGTCATATTTAACGATTATATGCGGCTTATGTAGACTTTATAAGATCCTTGAAAGCATGAACCTTTACCAAATGCTTGGAGTATAACAAGTGTTTGTAGCGTGATATGACATTTGATAGTTTTGCTGTTTAAATTTACAATATTGCTTGTCATGAAATCTGCTAAGGAAGCCGAAGTCTAATGCAAATAATTTGAACAAGTATAGCATAACGCTTTAAACCGCTGAAGCTGGGTTGCGCGTATACTATTTAACTGATGAGGTCAGTAGTTTATTAGCTAAAGATGAAATCTTTTAGAAACAAGGCGATTGGTTATTCTACTAAGCAAGGTGTTTATGAAGTCACTATTCCAGAATATTTACTATTGCCCAAATGGAGTATTTTCTCTGACTTATAATGAAAATAAATAAATAAATAAATAATAATAAAGCTCGAAAGGGTCGTGTGTATCTGCAAACTTTTGCTAATAGTTCTTGTTAATCGAATCAAGATTGAAAACCGGAGTTAATATTCCAACTCTTCTTCCAGTTTCACTCTTTAGCGCAAAAAGAAAAGCGCTTTCAAACTCCTCCAAACACTCAGCTGACCTTTACTTACATCTTTTAGCTAACATTACTAGCTAGTATAACTTCTACTTCCACTTTCGGATAATTTTTGCAAATACTATCATAATATGATGAGGTAAATATGCCGTGATCGGATGAAATCAATTGAGGATTGTCTGCTTGATGTGGATGGCTTCAGACAAAAGATTCTTTGTAAATTGCAGAAAGTTACTTTCTATAATTATGTTCTACGATTATCTTAACAAATAGTTGAGCTCGTACTATTTTCCCCTCAGTTCAACCCATATTGAGCTGCAAAGATGAAGTTACCCTACACTTTATACTGTACTGCTGCATTTGAGGCTTGATCTAAACAATCTTATATGATATTTTGTGTGTTTTTTCCAGTGACCACATGTAATTTGGCGAGAGAGGCCCTCGACTTGCTTCGAGGGAGAAAAGATGGATATGACATTGTAATAAGTGATGTGAACATGCCCGATATGGATGGATTCAAGCTTCTAGAACATGTCGGGCTCGAGATGGATCTACCTGTCATAAGTGAGTTTTCTCGATCAATTTCTACCAGCTTATTGATGTCATTCGCATTCGTTATAATTTGTGTTAACCACAAAAGAACTTCACTGCCTTAGAAAATCACACATAATCTCCCTCCTTTTGATTTTGCAAAATTTATCTTGGAAATGTGCAGTGATGTCGGTGGATGGAGAGACGAGTCGGGTCATGAAAGGTGTCCAGCATGGCGCGTGCGATTATCTATTGAAGCCGATAAGGATGAAGGAGCTTCGGAACATATGGCAGCACGTTTTACGAAAGAGGATACACGAGGTGAGGGACACTGCTGAAGGCCACGAAAATTTCGACGAGGTTCAGTTGATGAGAGGTTTAACCGAGCAATCAGACGAGAGCTATTTGTTTAGTGGGGACTTTTTTTCCGGAAGGAAAAGAAAGGACGTTGATAACAAGCAGCATGAGGATCGAGCGTGTGGTGATTCAATAACGTCCGTGAAGAAAGCGAGGGTCGTGTGGACGGTCGAGCTTCATCAGAAGTTTGTCAAGGCTGTGAATCAGATCGGATTCGACAGTGAGTCGAGCAACTTTTTTTTTTTCCTTAGCATTTTCAGCTGATCTTATATAGTTAGCATGATCTTATAATTGTTTGGCAGAGGTCGGCCCGAAGAAAATACTGGACTTGATGGGCGTGCCGTGGTTAACAAGAGAAAACGTTGCTAGTCACTTGCAGGTATAGTGCTGTTAAATTAAACGAGCCTAGCTCGGTTCGGTTCGTGAAGGCTCGAGTTTGAGGCCTTAACGAGCCGAGCTCGAACTCAATTAAATCTCGTTTGGTTAACGAGCTGAGCTCGACTCGTCTTGATAAAACTCGAAAAGTGAATTTTTATATAATTTTTAATAGTTCGGCTCGTTAAAGCTCGAGATTGGCTCGTTAAGGCTCGAGCTCAAGGCCTTAACGAGCCAAGCTCGAGCTCGATTTCTGGCTCGTTAAAGGATCGAGCTCGAACAACCTAAACTCGAGCTCGGCTTGTTTATAGGTCTACAGGTACATATGCTATCTATCTCTTTCCTATTTTTAAAGAATGGTGTGATATTATCTGCAAATGTTTGATATTTTTGCATTTAAAGAGTGTAAACAGAACCTATGCCAAGTTGCGCTTGAGAAGAATCGTTAAGAAAATTTTCTTTTTTGTTGCTTTCAGAAGTATCGGCTCTACTTGACCCGGTTGCAGAAAGAAAACGAGTCTAAGGCCACGTTTGGGGCAACAAAAGACGAAAATTATCCTATTCCGGTTGGCAACATTGTCATTCACAATGATGGGACAAAAATCAAAGAAGGAAATCCAATTCGAATACATTCTGTTGCTGATTTGGAGCCCAGAAAAGCAGTAGGCTTGAAGCGTTCGAATGTAAAATCCGAATCCATGGCCCGAGCTCAATTCTTGTGGGCTACTGAAGTTCAAGTTCAAGCTCAACCTTTTCAATTTAAACATGAGCATAAACCACATTTCCAAACTGAGTCTAAGTTCGATCACGTCACGAATATTCCCATGCATCACGTAAAAGTCGATCCTGTGCAGCACGGTACACTCCATAATCCTGGGCCGTCGAGCGGAGATTTCGAAAAGACAATACAAGCATTCAGCAGGAACAAAACTCAATGCCCAGGGAAAGTGTCGAAAGACGAAAATAGCCCTGCATTGTTCAGCGTTCAACCAGAATGTCATTCAGTTGAGCCCATGCCCATCCCATGTTCTTCACGGGACACAAAGAACCACAGTTTAGATAAGGGCCTGTTTGGTGAACTCGAAACTTCCTCTTCTTCCCCGAAAAACACGGTTTTGGGCTGCGACAAAAAATTGAACGATTATTCAACGCACGACGAAGAATTTCGTCTGCCAGATGATTTCTTTGGGAATCTAGAGTTGCTCGGATATGCCAATCACGAGATGATTGCCAATTTCTCGCCACATTTGTTCGACCCTTTGAAGTTCGACTCGAGTACTTCAGTGACCACGTGGAGTATTCTGTAACAATACCAAAGGTCCGTTTTCATGATGGCAATGTTCTGTTTAACGTTCGACTTTTTAAAATATTCGAAGCCTGGCTTGATTGTAAGAAACTAGAACTATTACTCTTTGATACGGTGAAAAATATGCATTATTATTGGGCATGGATATTGCAGTGTGTATCTATCATCACTTAAGGTTCACATATACTTAAGCAGCATTGCATAGAAAAAATAGAAACCTCAAAACTAGGGCTACACTTCAAACGAGCCGAACTGAATCGGGCATTAGCCTTGTTGAACAAGCTTGATTTTTTTTTCTTTTACTTGCTCGAGAGCTCGAGGTCGGGTTCACTATGACGTTCGAGATCGACTCGACAAAAGAAGACAATTAGTCGAGCTCAACTCAAGATCGATTGAAATCAAAATGCTCGACAAATTGTTCAAGCTCGACTCGAGTTTGACTAGTAAAATTATCATTAAGTATATATATGGAATAATAGAATATTTAATTATAAGAGGCATTTTAACAATTCACCATAACAGCTCGCAAGCTGACCTTCTAAAACCTCTACTTTCAAGATCGACTCGATAACATGTTCGAGCTCGATTCGAGTTTGGTCAAACTCAAGCCGAACTTTAACTCGATCATTTGCCCTACTCCCAACAAAAACCAAGAGAAGCATGTAAATCATGATACCCAAGTGACAATGCAAATAATGGATTTTCATATTTTCTCACAAAATTTCCATTACAGTTCACAACAACAAATACATTTCATCACTCCACATTGATATCAAAAACCTTAGCATTGCTACTTGCTTTAGGTACAGTGATGTACAGAACACCATCTTTAACCTCGGCCTTAATTTTCCCAAACTCCACATTCTCAGGCAAAGCAATCCTAGTACTGTACCTCCCATAACTCTTAGCTGTCCACTCACCGTTTCTCTCTTCCTCATCGTCCTTCTTCTCCGCCTTCACGACCAGCATTTTCTCCTCGACATAAACTTTAACATCCTCTTTGGTCATTCCAGGCATGTCGAATCTCATCTTGTATTCATTTTCGGCTTCTTTGATCTCCCATGGAGTTCTTCCCCTTCGGTAGCCCACATCGTCAGTCTGGGATAGTCTCTGGCTATTATACGCATAAGGATCGTCCATTATTCTCTCCATCGTCTCCATCATTTGCTGCACGGTTCTTGCTGTAGGGAATCTGTCCCATAAACCTGGATTAAACAACCATATTTTTTCAACAAATATCCAAACTTTTAAACTAATATACAATTATCTGAAAAATAACATAACCAAAAGCATAACATTTCACAACGTTTTAATGGGAAAAGGAAATGCATACCAATTGGAACAACTTGAGCTGGTCTTTTCTGAATCTGCTGCTTATGAGGCCTCTGCGTATGATCAATTTTGCGTTCACCCCTGCTTTGATTCGCGACGGCTTTAACCGCACGCGCGGCCCGATTAATGCCAGAAATAGGAACCCTCGCTAAATTGGAAAATCTTGATTGGTGGGTATCAGGGGTAGGATTGAAAAAGGCTGTTTGGGATGGGATTGTGTGGGGGATTGATAACATTTTCTTTTAGTTCTTTCTTCTTCTTTTTCTTCTTCTTCTTCTTCTTCTTCTTCACAGATGCTAAAGATTGAATCTTTTTGGCGAAGTGAGTTGCAGAGTTGCTGGTTCTTGGTTGAGTGAGTGAAAAGGGAAGTTGGCATTGATATTTAAAGCGGAAAATGGATGGATTCTGGAAAGTGCTGTAATGGGTTCGAAGCTTTCTCTGGATAATTCTAGAAATAGCTGTTTTCTTCTTCTGGATAAAGAGAATCTTGAAAACAGGAGGATAGTATAATTTAGGGTTTGGAATTTTGTAGCCGAAGATGTGATACGATGCCGTTTCTTGTTGTCTCTGGCTACAATTATCGGAAATTTTCAAAATCCAAAGGGGTCACTCAAGATTTTATGTTTTATATTATGAACTAATATTGATGAACTTTTTATGTCTAAAAGTGAAATTGAGGTGTATACAAAATTAAAATGCAATTTGATAAGTAATATTAGGAAATAAATAACCGAATTTCGTGAGAAGGTATAACAATTAGACAGGTGGACTTGCTATACTTAAAATAAATATATAACTAAGTCATGAAATGATATTTGTTTAATTATATTGCTTTAGATGTAGTGTTACATTTCAATTTGAAAATATAAATATTAATTGAAAATGGTTATAACCACATTTCAATGTGGTTATAAGTTGATGGGCTCAGAATGAGAGAATGAGGTTGGGTGGAAAGCTTTCAAAGCTGAAAATGAACTGTAATTATGGAATATATCTAGGGACTTCAAGAGAAATTCAGTGGAGGCCTATATTGTGGGAATTAGTTCGGTGTTGGCCAAAAAGAAGGAGTGGAAGAGCATTGCTTGATTTGTTGATTGCAAGGAAGTGATGGAGTGAATCCAAGGCTTATCTGAAGACCGGGTGCAGCTGGGAGAGGAGGCAAGCGCATACAAGCACTTATGTTCTTTCTTTAGTAATTGTGGGTTTATTTTCTAGCCAAAGAGCTATTCAAGGTGATTTGTAAACATCATCTTGGGGTTGTCCGAGTATGTGTATGAGTTTGTTTGGGTAACTTTTATGCTTATTTGGGCCTCGCATTGTAAGACGATTTATTGAGTAATTTTATTTCATTTGTTGTTGAAATAAATAAATAAATAAAAAAAACTCTAGATAATAGTGATGCTAGTATGAATTTTGTGGTGTCACAATAAAATGAACACAAAAGTTTCCACTACAAGTTACTACTGCACTCACATATATTCGAATTGGAATTCCCAACTAGCCTCCAAGAATTAGAAGTACTATAATTTAAAAAGCAAGTATAATTTTACAATTACATTTAACCATCAATAGGAGATAAGTTAGAGTTGACATTACAGCCAGCACTTCTTCTCTAGGACAGCATTAACAAACCAAACATAAAGAAAATTAGTGGATTTTTTTTTTTTTGGTAGCCAGCCACGGTATCCGGAGTTTTGCCCCGACTAATCCGTTGGTCGACCCAGATCGCACACCTGACAATAGTGGGTGAGTCTCCCAACATGCATAACAAATTTCATACTTTACAACCCAACACCACTTTTTTTTTTTTCCTTTAATTATTTTTTTATGGGAAATTATCTTCCAAATTGCCAAAACCATCCCAAAGAAAAGGATTATCCATGACCCAACTCTGAAAAGGATCCATGAAAAAATCCCCAAGACTACCCTCTTTCATATGAAACACAACTGAGGGCCCCACATCTGAATTGCTCTTGAAAAAGGTGTGATTTTTATAATCATTATTATCTTGATGATTTGAGGGTGGGATATTTGAGACATTTTCAAAAATTTCAAATTTTTCATGATGAATAATAATCTCTTCACTGATCTCTGTGCAAGATTTTTGATGATTTTGTTGCTGATCATGAGTTAATATTATTGGCTTGTGGGTCAATGGATCTAACCCCAAGAGCTTCATTTTCTTCTTGATCCTTGTGTTCCAATGGTTTTTTATCTCATTGTCTGTCCTTCCTGGTAAATGTGCAGCTATTTTAGACCACCTGAAAAATGTTACGATAGTTCATCTCGTCTACTCTGACGAAAATACTTGTTTACGCTATAAAATGTCGCACTTTTATTTATATGTCGGAAAAAAAAATATGACTGGATTCATTTTTTTTACCTGTTACCTAGTCGAGAATGAAGTTCGATTATCATGTCTTCTTCTTCCTCCGTAAATGCTCCTCGTTTGAGGTCTGGCCTTAGGTAATTGATCCACCTCAATCTACAACTCTTTCCACATCTCATCAAACCTACATTATAATCAAGGTAAAATCATATGAATTGATACAATATGAGACAAAATTAAACTAAATTGACAAATGACCTTAGTTATATCCAAAGTCACATAAATATATTTCTTAAGATGTTACAAAAGGCCTTGTGATTTATGTAATGTACCAAATTCTAGGGTGAGTTAATGCTCATATACGGGTTTTTTAACCATCAGATAAACGCACGCTCATATGGATGTGTGCGTGCGCGATATAAAACCATTAGATAAACACACACTCATACGAACCTGCAAGTTTCGGGACAAGCCGCCAACACTGAATCCCATTGTTGAGGATGAAGTTCATGAGCTTAGAATCTTCTTCCAAAGTCCAAGGACCGCGTTTTAATCCGACCTTCTCACAACAAGGTTGTCGTCCCATGATCGACAGAAGGGTACGTTTATTTAGTGATTTTCGTACGGTTTAACACGATTCCAAAGTGATTTTTGAAGAACAAATAATGCAAGAACTTTTTTTTTTTTTCTTTGGAACTATTTATTTTGGAGTTTGATTTGCATGCCAAGTAGTTTTTATATCATTTTGGCGGCCGAAGAAAAAGAAGAGGGATGTTTATATATTCAAACCAAGATTCTTCCAGCTAATGCACAGATCAAATGGCTAAATTTTTTAATCAACCTCTCAAGTCATGATTGAGTTTGAATAATAAAAAAAAAAATATTATAGTTAGGATGATAGCATAAATAAATATGTAAAATACTTCAATAATATAATTGGCTAAATTTTATTTTTAGTACATTGTGTTGGCCATTTTATGAAAATAGTTTATCGTATAGGGCGTCTTCAAGAATGGTTCACTAAGTTGTCATATTAATCAAAACTCGTACAAAAGCCAACATAGTGTACTAAATATGACAACTAAAAATGATCACTTTTCGTACACTATGTTGGTTATTGTACGAATTTTGATTAAATTAGCAACTTAGTAGACCATTCTTGATGACAAACTAGATGATGAACCTTTTTCAGAAAATGACTAACATAGTAGACTATTTTTTAAATTTGACCACTACATTAAATCAAATATCAATTATTCGCTAATACAATAAAAAAAACACAATTTATATATGTGTATGAAGAGAAGTCATGTGAATAAATTTAGGTAAGTTTAAGTGATGTATTTTAGCTAAACATGCACATTAGACCACATTAATTACATTTTGTGGGCATGTTTAGTAGTTTTAAAACCTTTCACATTGGGCTTTCATGCAATTACATCAAACCTTAGGTGGTCATTGCAATTATCCCTTATAGCTATATATGATTGAAAGTACATAGAGCATTGCATAAAAGATGGTGAGAGAAGTGAGTCATTGTCGTTGACATGTTTTTATTTTTTATTTTTTGTTTTATACTTTTTAATGTTAATGTACACATTTGTGTATGATTAACTTTTGCAGAAAGTACAAAGAACATTAAAAATAAAAAAATAAAATAAAATAAAAAAAACTTACAACAAAGCAAGCTTTGTTCCGTGTATCAAATCTTTATATGATTCTCAATTCGCATTTAATATAATTAGGAGTTTACAATAATTGGCTAATATTTTATTCTATGCTTTGTTAGAAAAAGTACACGGATTATGGAGAAAAATTAATCTAATTTAATTTTAATGGGCTAATTATTGAATTAGATAATCTCGAGTTCCATAATAGTTATAATTGTAAGAAACTGGGAGAAAAGGAAAGCCCATATGAAGCCCAATGGGGTTCCATCCCAAAACCAATTGGTGGAAGGAGGAGTAGTCCATTAGACTTATAAGGTGGGTCTATTTTCCATGTATAAACGATGTGGGACAACTCACAAGTGATATTCTAACACGCCCCCTCACTTGTGAACCCAGGCACAAAGTGGGCTCTGATATCATGTCTCTAACCCAGACACAAAGTTGGTCGGGCTCTGATATCATTTGAACCCAGGCACAAAGTGGGCTCTGATATCATGTCTCTAACCCAGACACAAAGTTGGTCGGGCTCTGATATCATGTCTCAAACCTGACTCTGATACCATGTAAGAAACTGGGGGACAAGGAAAGCCCATATGAAGCCCAATGGGGTTCCATCCCAAAACCAATTGGTGGAAGGAGGAGTAGCCCATTAGACTTATAAGGTGGGTCTATTTTCCATGTATAAACGATGTGTGACAACTCACAAGTGATATTCTAACAATAATAATTACAATATTGAGTTCACTGTGTGTGTTGATAATTAACCAATCATCGTACATGAGAAGACAAATGCTTAATTTAGTATTATGACTAATTATGTTTTATGGCGTAGGCCTAACTCCTGTTAAGCCCTATTAATGATGAAAAGTCTTATGGAGTTGACATGCACTTTAGAAGTTTAATACTGATGGTGGAAGCAGTTTATATTAAAATCATCGAATGATTAGAGAATAAATAGGAAGTTTTGT